GGCCCAGTGGCTGCAACAACGGGCTCAGACATGGGAACACCTGTGAGGACGGCGTAGGACTGGGTGTTTCATTCTGTTGTGCACGGGGTCACTATGGCTCGGAACCAACTCCGTGGCACCTACAACAACAACAAATACAGAGTAAGACCCAAGACTATCTTCCACTTTATGAATGTGGTTTCTGAGCATGTGACTAATGGTTGATTAACTGAAGAAATGAATAAGTTACCACTAAAGATGTTCTTAAAATATATTTTAGTACATATTTTCTTTATATCCATTAATTTAATCATCTTCTGCAGTACAAATTAATCTTAATTACTCTAAAGGTTTATTAAAATCCTTCCTCCTATAACTGAGACATGGCTTCTAGTTTCAAAACACACATTTGATTCTTTATACCAAGATGCTTTGGGCAAATACATATATTCCCATGAAATTAATGTCTTTGGGGAGTTGTTATTTAATCATCTTTATTGAGAATCCATGTGGAGTCCTGGTGGAACCCTGGGTTGAGCACTGGGCTGCTAACTTAAAGATCAGCAGTTTAAACCCACCAGCTGCACCAAAAGAGAAAAGCTGTTGGCTCCTGTAAAGATTTATAGCCAGGAATCCAGGACAGATAAATCCCTCAGGACCAATAATGTGAATAGCAATACCAGGAGTGTAGGGGGAAGGTCAGGGGAAAGAGGGGGAACCAATCACATTGATCGACATATAGCACCACCCCTAAGGGGACGAACAACAGAAAAGCGGGTGAAGGAAGACAGTGGTCCATGTAAGACATGAAAAAAACACTAACTTATAAATTATTAAGGGTTCATGAGGGAGGGAGGATGGGGGAAGAAGGGGGGAAAAGAGGAACTGATATCAGGGGCTCAAGTAGAAAGAAAGTGTTCTGAAAATGATGAGGGCAACATATGTACAAATGTGCTTGACACAATGCATGGATGTATGGCTAGTGATAAGAGCTGTAAGAGGCCCCAATCAAATACTTTTTAAAAAAATGATTCATAGCCTCCTAAACCTTATGGAGCAGTTTTGCTCTCTTCTACGAGATCACTGTGAGTCAGAATCCACCCAACCACAGTGAGTCTGGCTTTGGTTTGGGTATTAAGAAGCCATTAGCAAAAGGATGTTTGCACCTTAGTACCATTGTGGGTTAAGGGTCAGCCTTTCAAGCTCCCTAGCCACTCCTGTGGAGAAATATGAGGCTGTCTGCTCCCATAAAGAATTTCAGAAGCCCTACATAGGGCTTCTCAGGTCAGAAGCACTCAATGGCAGTGGACTTGATCTTTCAGTATGGGTCAACGACACTATAAGGAGGTTTGGGAGCTCAGTTGGTTAGGTGTTGGACTGCTAACAATAACAACAAAAAGGCAGGTGGAACCCATCAGCCACTTTGTGGGAGAAAATTGAGGAGGTCTGCTTCCATAAAGATTACAGTCTTAGAAACCCTATGGGACAGGAGAGTTCTACTCTGTCCTTGGGGTCACTCTGAGTGGAACTGACTGGAGGGTGGCAGGTGGGGACAGCTGCTATCACTAACCCATCTTTATTCCTGCTGGATAAAATGCTGGACTGGGGACTAGATTCTCCCTGATGGCCACAAGTGTAGGACATGCTTCATATTTTTAGCTTTACCCCTAATTCTCTCTCTACATTGATTCCTTAGACAAGAGGCCCTAATGTCCTATTCCATTTATCCCACCTAACTGACATTCCAGGAGTCATGCTAACCAGATTTACACGGTTAATAATAACATGGAAGCTGTGGACTTCCATGTTATTATTAACCGACATGGCCAACCCCACTATGAGACGAGATGCTCCTCACTGGCCCATCGCCCTGCGGGGGACAACACCAGGAACAC